TACTCGTTTTCTACCACTTTTTGTCGCATACGCGTTTCAACGAAAAGGCTGAGAACGGCTTCAAACAGTGTGCGCACTCCTACTGGCTGATACGCCCCGACAGTCCGTAATGATGAGGAGAGTAGTAATTCTGCAGTGAAGAAAATGAAAAAATTCATCGACAGCACTCCAAATGAGACCCCCTCATTTTCGAGGGTTGTACGAGTATGCGATGGAAAGGGAAGGGGAGAAATCAGTCAAAGGATCTGGATGATAAGCTTGCAGTCCTCTTACATGCACGGAAAAGACAGTTTCCGGAGCTAGATTACCTAATCAAGAAGGGGCTTAAACATCCCATTATTCGCGAAGTGCTCTTCTTGCAGTCATTTCTGTCATTTTTGCGGTGAATGGTAAGTTCCCAAGCAACAGCATCCTCTACAACATAATGCTTCTACTGGGAAACTACTTGGTCACAGCTATCTATACGAGGGCGCTCACGATCCTGGCAATGTATATTTCCATAGGTCCTCCAAGATGAAAATTCCATACAGCGCTTTCTTTGGTAGGGTATTTCAAGAGGCTCATATAAGGAGAGAAAGGAGTACGCGAGCCAGCCTACTACTAGGTCATCCCATTCAAAAGTGCCGAAACATATAGAGGAATGGCAGAAAAGCAAAGGGGAGCAGCGGGCTACTATACCATTTGGAGGCTAGTACCTTTAGCTGTGTATCTGTGAAATTTGGCGAACCTACCCACAGAAGAAGTTCTCGAGAAATTGAAAAGAAGCCCGAGTGGTGAAAATCAGCGCCGGATTTTCAAATCAGTGTCATAAGAGGAAAGTGCGCTGCTCAAATTTGACCTGCGCCGGACCAGTAGTTGTAGTGGTGTTCTCGAAATACAAGGTGGAAGGTTTGGTTCAGGAGCCCGAAGAAGGAAGAAAGGAAAAAATTTGTTGTCGTGGATGGTCCCATAATGTTCATCCTGCACAAGAAAAAAGGGTGGATGAAGTCAAGCGCTGAATGTCTGATCACAGAGCCTGGACCTTGTCGAGCTTCCCCGCGAGACTGACATCCCAGCTGCAACTGCTGCCCGAGTTATGTCCGATAAGGATGGTCAAGAGGGTGTGCGCATGGGTACCTAATTTTCTTGTAGAAGCACGAACGCAGTACCGATTCTCAGTAATGTTCTCAGCATGAGATGTCATTACGACTGTGAAAACGCAGCCTCGGCCTTAGATGAAATATGGGAGGTCTTGGACCTCGAGTCAAATCATCATAGTGGAGGATTTCCACACTGTGGCTTTCAGACGGCCTACACAGAGAATAAAATCGTGTCGGTGTATGTTGCCTGTTCCTCGGCAATCAGATCGACAAATGGATGATACCACACAACTACAAGAAGGCCACCGTTGCTCGTCCAGACCCCGAGTAACTGTATTGTAGGGCAGTGCTGGGACACAAACAATACTGAGACCTGGGTTCAATCGCCCCATTCGCCCAACATAAAGCCGTTCGATTCCAACTGTTCTGGTCAGTCGAGGGTACTCTCCGACGGCAAACGCTACAATGTTTTGTCATTCGCCGAAATTGGCATCAACAGCAATTTACTCGCACTTGTTGAAAAATCGAAGGTACCAGAGGTCCAAAGGCTTTCGGGGCACTGGGAGCGGGTCATTGGTGAAAGAGGGAACATTTCATTGAAAGCATGAAAAATAAAATGATGAAACTTCCGGTGCTGATCATTCCTTTCTGAGCTGCGCCACGCATTCCAATTCCTTTAAAAACGTGGCAGCATTTGATTGCGACATGTATACAACGACTTGCGGAGAGCCAATGTACAAGTTAGTGATTTTATCTTCCAAGACGAACTGTGGACCGAAATTTTAGCACTAGCTAGTAGGGTGGATATTTTCATTGGTATGGAGGGTGAGCCGATCCGAGACTTGACCCCCAAACCAGACGCATTGTATGCTGTGTCACTTTTCAGCGCCTTTGCAATCCTTTGACTTCTAAGATCATCTTGCCACGGTTCTGTGGATTCCATGAAATCTTCATTTCTATCACAATGAGAAAGTCGTTTCTACTGTAGCTTTCAGAGCTAAAAGTAAAGTAACTGAAAATAGCTCACCTGGGAAGGCATGGATCATCCGATGTTGCACCATGCAACACTAATAGTTCTTTCTGATCCGAAAACGATGTAACAATAACCGGTAGTGCACAGCAAAACAGACTACTTATCCGATAATGAGTGGGTTTAAAATTGTTTGCCAGTTTAAAAAATGACCGCAATTAGGTACTATTTTGAAGATGGAGGTGTTGATTCCAATAGTGATTCATTCAAAACTGGAAGAGACAAAGTGGAGGTCACGGAGAAGGTACTGTGCCTCCTCCGAGTGCACTGGCTGCAACCAAACCATGTAGAATGGAAAAACTCTTGCTTTCAGGATACGGAAATGAAGAATTCTAGAATGAATAAAATGAACACTCTCTCTTCACTTCTATCTGATATTTCATGGTCCACGTGGCTCGTTCCTGTAATGAGGTGGACTGGAACTAATCATAAGAGTAAGTTATCGTCTTCCAAGTGTCAACTGGTCATTTCCGGATGCCAGCGCTTCAGGGTCGGGCTCACAGTTGCAGCGAAAATCGCTTCTATGTAGCTGCAGAAGACCGGCTTGTTCACCTTCATCAGCCCTGTTTGTTGAGGTCATGAACTCCTTCATTCAATCAACTGATTTCACGTTTTCAAGTCTGCATGCCTGAACCTATGTGAATTTTGCAGACAGCGGGTCAAATCGCTCCTGACAGCAAGTTTCCAACGAGTCCGGTGATTTGAGTCATTTTGGCACCTGCGCCAATCGGATCGCAATGTGGATACGGACATGGACGATTTTGAGTTGATGTGTACGACTTCTGGAGTTACTCAAATCTCCTCAGGAACCAACTGGAGGTCACGGAAGATGTCAGCGTCATCTGGAATGTGCCATGCATTGACATTCTCTCATGAAGCCCCTCAAAATTTCTTACTCTGGAGATGGGGAAGGGGCGGGCTCTTTCCCATCCGCAATTCTATGTACCTGCCATCTTCCTGCTACTTTTCCGTTTTTTTTTCTTAACTCGCCAGTGTTTAAAGCTTCTCCACGCACGACGTGCCCTGGTCGCGAGTGTTCATGATAGACCCCTTTTCGCTCCGAAAGGTGTTCGTAAAGATTTTTACGTCAGTTACCTCGTCATACAAATTTCAACCACCAGATTTTTAGCCATTTTTTTCAAAGGAAACAGACACATCATGCAGTCGTCGTGTGGGGGCTATTGCCACGAAAGAATTCGTCACCGAATAATCAGGTGGTCATTGTTCTCAATGGGGAGCAAAAGCAGAGAAGCTTATCAGCTAAGAACGCTACATCACCAATTTATGGCTGCTCTCGTACAGGCGTTTGCAGCGCTTTCAGAATCACATTCTGTTATTCGCTCCAGAAATATTTTGAAACTCGGCAATGTTATCGTTTCAGAGATGCGACTGGTATTGCTGATTACTCTGATATGCTCAAGTGCTCTCGGTCTAGACAACGGCCTGGCCAGGTTTCTGTGTTTCCGTTTTTCTTTCTATCTAGTGAATCCGAAGTCAACTTATGTTGAGTCATCACAAGTTTCGTGACCACCTGACTTGTACGGACCTGTTATCGTACAAGTATTCCGCTTCACCCTCAGAAGTTGTCGCAGCTCTACAAAATGAGTCGACGAGATCGCTGCGGCTGTTATGAGCCGAAGAAGCTTACCTGCACACATAGTACCACTCCTCTGAGGCTGAGGATTTCCAGCAGTCCTAGATTTGTAGACGTCGAGCGTGCTATGCGTGCCACACTTGACAATCCGCGACGTAGGGGTCTTATGTGATCCACTCATAGTAGTTTGGGTCAACTCCAGTACCTATTACGACAGAAAGCAGGGGTCTCATGGACATCAGATCTCTCAATGTCAGCTCATTATGCACGATCTTTACCACCTGCAAACGAGGAGGCGTGCGAAGAGCCACTGGTAGAAGCGCAACCAAGGCAGATATTTCTCCAGCTGTTGCGGTCTCAGGACATAATTGGTGGGAAAGTTCGCTCTGGCTGCGCTCCAACAAACGCCCTTTCAAATCCTGCTGAAGGGATCCCTCTGGCAGGGCAGCAGGACTGTGCATACGTGAAGACGACAGAGTGAGAGAAAATAAAGATAACTAACTAGTTAACAAACAAATAAAGTAATCAAATAGTTGCACTTGTAGGACACCACCCATGGGCTGGATGTCATGGACTCAGTTTCGTTGTCAAACCAACTGTGACAAGTATCCTGATGACTGTATCAATGAAAAACTTTATCAGGAAATGGCAGACAGATTAGGTGAGGCCCAAAGACGAGACCCTTGCCTGCTCTGCACTCCAAAAAGCGTAGGATAAACATGAAAGCTTATTATACTTTAAGTGTTCAGTTTCGGATGGCTATCGTGATGCCGGATATAACCACATTCACATTGACGATTGCTGGATGGAACGGAATCGTGATGCTGATGGGCGGCTTGTTGCTGATAAAACGAGATTCCCTTCAGGCATTAAAGCACTTGCGAAATACGTCAGTGGACTTCTCTGCTTATCTCATTTCTGCAGATTTTTTCTTGAAAATGTTATTCTTTAAAATGCAGAAATATATGATTGTTGGAAACGATAGGGCATGTGTAAGGGTGTTAGTTATAGCGCAACCAAAACAGCCTATCCCGCCAATCGTTGCGGACTCAGGATTGCATCATTGGTAGAAAAGGTTTTCTTAGCGGAGCTCTAGTTCATGGCCCGTCCAACGCCCGCCGGTTTATCGAAATGGCTATGCATTGAGTTAGCTCCTCCGAATGAAGAATCAAACTGTAAATCTCAACCTTCCTCTCATTTCGGATGTTCGATTTGCTTGCTCCCTCCTATGACCTCTTTTGCCATTAGCGAGAGAATTCGCGCTGGGTGAAGGGTTAATGTCTATGAGGGTAACCCCTTGATGGTCACTCGAACGCATCCTTCTGACGCTCAGCGTGACTTGTCTCCTCTCCAATAGTTGATGTTGTGGACCCTGCAGACCCCCCCCCCCCTCCCCCTCCGCCCGCTCCTTCCTTGCGCTACACCAGCTTCTGACAATCCACGTGCCTGACCCTTCATCTGAAGGTTATTTGGAGTTTAAACGCAGTGAAGCTCAGAAGACCCGTTCGGATACTGAAACGCATTATACATGATTTTCAGATTTTTTTGGAGCTTCATTCGATTTCATTTTGTTCTTATTTTTTCACTTTTTTAGATGCATGACAGAAATCTCTTTTTGGGTATCTATGAAGATTGGGGTAACAAAACCTGTGCAGGATATCCTGGCAGTGAGGGTCACGTTCAGGTGAGAATTGCTATTATTCAGCTGGTCAAAGGCACAGTCCACGATCATTAGAGGGGTTAAGAGATCCCTTCCGATGAACGCCTCCTTCCCCCGCGTTTCTGACAGAACTTCGAGAAACACTATCAGCATAAGTACGAAAACAAGTAGTAAGAATTGTAGAGGTTTTTCAGATGGACGCACAGACGTTCGCCGACTGGGAATGTGACTACCTGAAACTAGACGGTTGTCATATGAAGCAATCGCAGCAAAGCATTGGTTAGTTCTACTGAATGTGTTCAAGAATAGTGCTTTCTTTTCGGAGTTAGTGCGGCGCTGGCAGTTTCATCACATCTTCTGGGAGAAGATCGAGCGCTTACTCCGCCACACCACCAACACCTACGTAAGTAGCGAAATATAACAATCCCGTCCGCTGCAGACGCTCGAGACATTCCAGCGGCGGGATTTGGCGCAACGCTAGCTAGTTTTCCACCAATTGGTGCCGCATGGCAGTTTCCGCTAGTGTTGGAGAACGAGCTAGCGCCAAATCCAGCGAGCTTGAAATGCCCCAGCATTCGTAGCTTGCGAATGCAAATGCAAAAAATTAATAAATTACTTGCTGTACTCAGTGTCATCCCTAACTAACACGGAGTTTTACGGTGCATTTTGTAGGTTATCCAGAAATGGAAAAAGCTTTGAATGCAACTGGCCGCCCAATTATGTATTCATGCGAATGGCCGTACTATTTAATTGATGAACAGAAGCAGGTTTGTTTTTGTTCCAATTTACCAATTTCACTTGAAAGAATATTTGCACAGATCAACTATACTGCAATTGCACAATCATGTAATCTCTGGCGGAATTTCAATGATGTGTCCAACAACTGGGCATCGATTCTGAGCACCATGCTTTTCTATGATCACTATCAGGACGAGCTGATTGATGTGGCCGGACCAGGACAATGGAACGATCCTGACATGGTAGACACTTTGTCATGGCGACAACATAGCTTTTAGAAAGGAATAGATTTGAAACACTGAGTATTGCGCAGATTTCTTGGCCTACACTTCCAGCGCGACCAGTCGTAGTTTATTGGGGGGGGGGGGGAGGGAGGGAGGGGAAGACACACACTTTGGCAGTTTCTACGATCACCCTCAGGATAAGTCTCAAGCTCCTAACGTTCACATCAATTGGAAAAAGATAAACTATGCTCATCACAAGAGGTAAGAATGACTCCACTTGCCAGATAATCGTGGATATGCTTCTCATACCGCGAACCCCGTTTTTTATGAAACTGGTCCTTCGCGGTAACGATCTGGTGCTAACGTATTTGGGGGGGGGGCCACGCGGCTCGCGGCGAGTGATGACTCATCGACTCTTCTGCTTCCTCCTCGGCAAAATAGAAGTAACCTCATGTTTAAGACATGGATATAACACCGTCGTATAGATATTGGAGAAGCTTAAGCAGGTTACGTGAAAAGTGCGAAGAAAACAGTTGTAGGGATTGGGGACGATTTTGCGACTAAATACCAAGCGCCTGGTTGATGTTGACCGTTATTCTTGACTACAAAAGATCAAACATTTGTTGTTCTCAGCTTCTGTGGGATTTCTCAGCAAGTATTCGGTGAATCTTGTTTGTTTTATTCTAATTTTGCTGCTAGATTAGCGCTCTAAGTATGTCAATGAGTGAAGAGCCGATGAGTCATCACTCGCCGCGAGCCGCGTGCCCCCCCCCCCCAAATACGTTAGCACCAACGATCTTAGGGGAACTGCAAGGACTCCCTGTGTAAAACATAGATTATCGCAATCCGAACAAAATCAACGTAGTTCAAACTGTTTAGTCCACCACTGAGCTTCTTGCCCCTCTGGTCTGGGAGAAGCATTCATTTCCATTTGGTGAACCCAGTTGGCAGGAGTCTTTTGAACGTCGTTCCTCTCCCCCCCCCCCCCCGAAGGTTATTAGCGCTGACCCTTAAAAGAGGATAATTGAGTCTGAGCTAATGTGTCTCTTGTTATCGCATGAATGAATTGTCGCGAGTTGTCGCTACCGCAGTAGGACGTATCGGGAATGAACGGCTACGGTAGGGTTTGCTTGACCTCTCAGTTCTGCTGGAAGTGCAACATGGAATATCTCATTTTCGATGAGAAAGATTGAGTTTTTTAGCTCGTCATTGGAATGAAGAATGGATTAACAGCCGATCAGGCGAAAGTTCAAATGTCTGTATGGTTAGTGACGTATTGAGACAGAAAGCAATTATACAAAATTTTTACAACATGGAGAATAATTTATACACTTTCATTCACTCGTGGAGCTTGTTCCTATTTACCACGGTCTTCGTGCGAGCCAATGGAAGTTTATAGAAGCCCCGGCTCTACGTCAATTGTCAAATTGACTGGGTGATTGTTGTTTTTCTAATAGCAGAGGTCATTTTAGGGCAATATGGTCTGCCCCACTAATTATGTCGAACGATCTTCGTGATATCGATCCGATATTCAAAGAGATTCTTCTGAATCGCGACGTCATTGCGATAGATCAGGATCCTATGGGAAAAATGGGAAGATTGATGATATCAGTAAGTTTTTGCTAGACATGTTGTGATTTCATTGCAGTTCAAGGTTTCTCCTCAGCAGTGTGAAAGATCGAGGAGGTGGTATTTCGGACAGGGGAGTGACTACGGAAGTAATGGGAGCACAGGACTGGGCGATGACGCGAGCGATTGCACAGATGTGGGCTGATTCAGAGAACTGCTTAATATGGTGCTGTCCCGGAGCCTCATTGTAATCTGAACATGAAACACGTGAAAGAGGCGCCAAAAAATTTATTGCAAAAAACTCAAAAGACTCAAAAGAATCCAAAAGTTCTTGCAAAAATTTTTTTTATCCTCAGCGATCTGAAATACTATAGTTAGTCGTCTGCAACCGAATCCGGATTGCAGACGACTAACTATAGTATTTCAGATCGCTGAGGATAAAAAAAAATTTTTGCAAGAACTTTTGGATTCTTTTGAGTCTTTTGAGTTTTTTGCAATAAATTTTTTGGCGCCTCTTTCACGTGTTTCATGTTCAGAGAATTGCGTTAACATTTTCTTGAACAGCACACGCTTCCTTGAGCGCCTGCGGTATTGGTATGCAGGCGCTGCTCGGATAAGGCGGAGGGGGGGGATATAGCATTAGCGGCAATTAGCACAAGCCCCCGTCAAACCGAGCTGCGCCCGTTTGTCGCAGCTGTCAAATGACTACCGCCACCGCGCTCACTTCAAAGCTCGTTAGCACTCTCCCGCGGTATGAACAAGCGTATCGAAATTTGCCGCGCCGTCGCGCGTGACGCACCGCCTGCCGACGAGTGCGGAAAACTTTCGGCCTGGGCGTCACGCGGCGATGGACGCGAAAAATTCAGACTGTGCGTCTGTCTCTCGATTACGATACACGTGATATCTCTGCATATTTTTTATTTTATATATTTCCTCACGTTTTTCACGGGTTTTATCTATTTTCTAGACCGTCTGTTCTGTCACGGCTGACGATACAGAGTATGAACAGCACCCCATCCCGTCTCAGTTATATTCAAATTCGAATTGCTAGGCAGGAAAACTCGCCTCTCTCGGCGCGGCGTCGCTCGCCACACCTGCTAGCGCGGCAAATTACTATTGTTTGTTATATATCACACTCTCCCCCCCCCCCATCGATGCCGAATACTGTATGCACAACATAAAGTCCTTTTTAGAATTTTCGACTACTAAGCAAATGAACACGGCTCCCATAATTTTGTGTAGCACCGGTAGAAGCATTTTCCTGTTTGTTTTCTTTGTTCATTACAGAACGACAACACAGCTATATACGTAAAGCCGGTACTGCCAAAAGAAGTCAGCGATACCTCTTTTGCCATAGCAGTTGTCAATAAGCATCTCTCCACTACCTATGTAAGTAAAGATCCCATTTATTAAAGTTGACTTGAAACTCGTGCTACAGGAAGTACAGTCTTGTTTGCTGCGGTTCCTAGGGCGGTCAGGGGGCTGGGTTTGGCGCGACGCCACGCATGTTCTCCACCAGTTGTACTCGCCTGCGAGTTTCCACAACCGGTGAAAAACACCTGGCGCTACGCCAAGTCCGACACGTCCCAGGATGTGCAGATAACAATACCATAGTAATGATGACGAATGCGAACATGGATTATGATTGGTTACCGCATTCAATCCATCAGTTACAAAGCCACAAGCTGAAATTCAATGCTCGCGTAAAATGCCGCGGTAACAAGAACGAAATATCGTTCACCACCGTGAAGATGCAACCTGCATTTAATTACCGATATTTTTCATGAAAAATTGCTGAAAGCAAGAACTACAAGATAGGGAAAACCTTCTCGTTCCATTTCAGACTATCAAATTCGCCTTGAACAAAGTTGGCATGTATCGTGAGAACGGCTACCAAATCAAAGATCTGTGGTCTGGAAAGGATATGGGAACCTTCAAGCCTACAGACACCCTAACCGTGCAAGTACCCCCTACTGGAGCGGCTATGTTCAAAGCAACTATTGTTTGAGAAGAATTAGTGTAACCATAAAATAAGTTATTGGTCTAAATCTTTTTTTGTTTGCTCTTTAATCGTTATTTCCCTCAGAGAGGCTGAGGTCATTGCCACACTGCAACTTAAGTCACAAAATGGAAAATCCCCTGTGGAAATGGTACCCGTTACGATACACTCAATGTTCGTCATAAGAAGATGCTCTGTGGGCTACGTGCGAGAATGAGCTTCTCCAATGGGAGTGAGCAGATCAGTTTCCCTGGAAGGGGACTATTTTTGTCAGTTGAAAGTGCATGACATAAAAGCTCTCTGCCCGCCATTGACCGCTGTGCAAGCCGTACGCTGCTGGCATATTGCCGACATGTTCGCTGTACCGGGGCCACCATGATCCTGTAGCGAACGTTTTGGCACGCTGCTTAAGACCCAAGAAAACGGTCAAAAAGGAGGTAGAGAGCAAGGGCGATGTGTTGTCATTGTTCTCTGACCTTTGCCTTTATCTCTTTGGCGTTGTTTGCAAGTGTAGATGTAAAAGAAAGCCCAAATATCGCAACCATCTACCATCTTTGCCATGCTTTCTTAAACGAGGAAAGAAGCATTTTTCTATAACCGCAGAACTGCCCACCTCCACTCCAGTGGAAATGGACCTCCAATCTACAGTGTTTCTCTGAAGACTCGGCTCCCGACCAACCAAGGTTACAGCCACTTGACACGCCAGTCCCTGAGATCCTAAAACACAATCTATTAGAACAGTCAGTCTACTGAGAGCGGCGTCAAGTCCAGTGTACCCAGTCCAATAGTATGGAAATCTACGCGGTCAAGCTCGGAAAACAGAAAAATCATAGGGACTACCTGTTCTCACTCCCGAATTGGAGCGCTTCACCTCTTAATCCTTCCTTAAAGCTGGGTAAAATGTCTCCCATTCCAAGGTAAGCAGATCAAATGACTTCATAATTTAGCAGACCGTAAGTATGATGTCCTGTACCTGCCAGTACTCCACTTCTCGGTTTCTTTTACTTGAAGAAACCGTTTTCGATCTGTGCATACCTATAGATTGTAAAACCGTGGGAACCTGGCTAGAACATTGATGGATAGTTCTGAAATCTTAACGAAACCTGCGAAACTAACGATTTCCTAGAAGATTCGCTTGTGGAACGAGAGGTGACGGGCGTCAAGTGACTGAATCAATGAATAAGTCAGTAAATTGCTCGAAACTCACTACCAGCGAGTTTCGCACTTTACACTGCACCTTCGGGCCCTAACAATAAAAGACCTCAAAAATTAGCAGGTCGGCAGTGGCCATACACAAGAAATGAACAGAAGTAACCGCGATCTTGTGATCCTTCCGAATAGGCCGTTGGAACGTTCCTGACAGCTTGAGGACAATCCTGTTCTTATAAGCGATACGTATTCATGAGAATCCCCGCTGCCTTCCGTGAAAGTCTCATAAGCACGCATAGCTGTTATCGTCGAATCAGTCGGGGCGGTGTCAGAAGGCGTGGAATGAGCCTAATCGCGAGGTTTCCACCAGGTTGCTTTCTTCCCGAATGAATCACTAACAGATCATTATTGGTAGATAAAGCAGCCGTGGTGGACTCACTCCACCCTTCCTAACACCACCCCAGCTGATTGCTACAAAACAGCTATACTTGGCGATGACAGCGAAGAATCGCCTGACTGCGCTTTATGCATTACGCGGTTTGGTAACAAGACAAGGTCTGACTTCTTTATTTCTATGAAAGTTTATCTTACAACTGGCAATCTTATGTACTAAAGTAGACCTGTTAACATTTAATGCGACGTAAATTGAGGTCAAATAAGGTCGACGTTCTTCGTGGTCATGTCACGTCTGCCGGTGCCTATCTACAGACAAACGCAGCTATATATTTCCCGCTTTTGGGGTATGCCCACCAGGCTCATTAAACTTGGGCTCGGGCTCTCAAATTCACCTCCACATACATATTCTAGGTTCAGACACTTTGCGCAAACACTCGAAGCTGAGAATGGCGTTGGCCCACTACGGTCTGGTTATCGTTATATGCAAGTTCGGCCTTCAAATGTATTCGAAACCTGGATGGTCTGAAAAGGCTTCAGCCTGGCCGGGTGTGCTTATACTATGTGTTCATAGTCACTGCTACTCAAACCATGTTCCTCCCATATGTTCTATTGAAAACATATGCTGTAATTTTTTACGGGCGAAATCCTTTTCTTAGACCAGGGAACAGGAGGGGTTGCACTAGTTTAGCGGCTCGGAAGCGAGCGAAGAGAGTGAAGAGGCCGTCATTATCTTTAGTAAACCCCCACACAGAAGTTGGCTACACCACGTAGAGATGAGAGGCAGTACATGAAAAAGTAGGACCGGGCTCTTTGCCTGCTGCCTTGCCCGTCGCTCGGTTCTCTCCCATATTTTTTTGATGTTCTCTCACCTGCGCTCACAGTATCTCTTCGCCTCTCGCTTCTCGACCACCGTTTGAAAGCAACCGTAACAAAGACGGCCCTGTTAATGACGTTCTTGACGGCTTTGCCTGCCGCTTTATCCATTGTCGAGCCTAACGTTCTGCAAATTCATATTCGGGCAGTCTACTCACGGCTCGTAATCACGCAGTCCGCCTTAAAGACACATGGTACGCTCAAACACATTGAGGGTGTATGAGACTATCAGCCCCCCAGCTGTCGATGTGTCGTGGTCCCCCCGCCCAAAACTGCACGGGGTCAGAGTACGGGGCCGTGGGAAAGTCGTAATTCCTTGCTACACCGCCCTCACGTTTATGCTAACACCATCCA